GAACTGCCTCTCGGCAGACGGGGAGCTCATTTCTCAGGAACCCCATGATCATGTTCGTGAAATCACTTCGGACATCCATGCCACTCAGAACCATGTCCTACACAAGTGTGCATGCGCGATTAGGCTGGCGAAGAGGCTCTCAAGCGTCCCGATCTGGACCGTCTGGAACCTCAGTAACTTACCCCAGGTCCTTTGAGGAGAGATTGCCCGCCTATGCCAGGAAGCAAATGTCATACATATACACACATACATACATATGTATATACATATATACATATATATACACATATATACATATATATATATATATTAAAAATATTTCTTATTTGTTTATTTATTGTTGTTTAAATGATGATGGGGAAAAAGGAACAACAAAAACAACAGCAACAAAACAAAACAACAAACAAACAAACAACACGAGTGTAACCCAAGGGACCGCATGCGTTCTTGAGCGCTTGGCAAAGAAATCGTGGGTGTTTCGGAGTGGTGGCGCAGCGAAGTCGAAAGGCCCATGGCCACTTGGTGCGACAAGGGGGATCCAATTAGGCGAAGGCGCGAACTCGTCACGTTTGATGAGGTCAGAGCTGCCCTTTTTCACACGCTCAAACTTGATACAACATTCCTCGTGGGAGATGCACTGCTTCGAAGGAAAAAAGGTTGGGCCATGGGGGTGCATTTGGTGAACCTGCAACCCTCTATTTTCTCCCAGATGGAGCGAGGAAGAGCGAGCGACGACTGGACCGCACCACGGCGCGACTACCACAACGGCGTGAAACAATCGATCGTCGGAAAACTCAGAACGCCACACGAACCGACCTGCCATAGGCAAGCTCATGCGATGAACCGTGGCCTGGGAGAAGAAAAAGTGGCGAGATGAATGAGAAAAAACACAAGGAAAAGGAGGGGGAGGAGAAGACAGAGAGAACAGAAAGGACACCATTTTTGTTGATCTGCGGGTCGAGAGCGAGCCTCTTCCGATCGAAGCTAAGCGGACCGCGCACAGCTTAAATTAGCAGAGGGGGGGGCAAAAGAAGGCGGGGCCTCACGTCAAGGCCGAGAGAGGGCAAAGCCCTGGGATCAGGCGGCGCTGAAATCGAAGTGCGGGAAAAGGTGCGCCTTGGACAAGAGCCCGGTGGCGAAGTCCCGGGAGGCGTAAAGCCGGCGGTGGTGCCGTCAGCGGCGCTTCGAGTACACCAGCCTCATCAACTGCGGGAGAGGACGCGCCACGCAACCAGGACGACGCCCGAGAGGAAGAGGAGCACCACTGGGTCGGAGCGCAGCGTTGTGCCACCAAATATGATACCGAAGAGGTCCAGGCCGTGGTAATCCAATCCACGAACATGGGATAGCAGCCGCAGCCTGAGGCGCGGCGGCCAGGCGAAGCCGGTAACTTGCCGCCCATAACCGACAGGGTGCCGGTGTGCTGCAGGGAGGAAGCCTGCCCCGCAGCGGCAAGCGCGTGGGAACGGGCAGGAGCCACACACGTTGCGCTGCCCTTCCGCAGTGTCAAGGGCCGGACCTACGCCGCGCAGCGCCAAGACCCGCGGGGCCGCCGAGGCGGCAAGGTGCAAGCGCCAGGCACCGGGCCGGAGCCGCGCAATGCCAGGCGCTGCCGCCGTGGTTTTTGTTTTTTGCTCCGGCTCGCGGAGCACTCCCTTCGCGAGCTCGACTACCTGCGTCCCGGGCGTTGGAAAGGCGTGCCGCCTGTCTCGGCGGCTTGTAAAGAACGAGGAACACGGCTTGCTGCTGCAAGCTCTGAGTCATGATGACACTTGACCAAAGCGGGCAGGGGCACTGGAAGCGGCCCATTAAAAACTCCCTGCATGCATGAGTCGGCTTCTGAGTGAGGTCCACGCTTAAAAACCTGACGTACCGGCGCAGCTTGATCCTGCACCCCGCCAGCGGCTCCAGAAGACCAGCGAACAGCACAAGCAAAAACGTTCGGATGTCTGCGCGGACCTCCAGAATGGTGAGTCTGCGTCGTTGTTGTTTCTTCGAGGCTCCACTGAACACACCGCGAGCACGTGCCGAGAGGTACCAATCACCGCACGGTCTGTCGCTATCCCTCGTCTCCGAGCTCCCTCCAGAGCCTGACGCTCATGGGCGCCCAGAAAGAGGCGGCACCGATGCAAAGGATGCTCAGGAGTGCGTACGGGTTCTGGAAGGGCTGCAGGTCTGGCCCCGTCAGCTTGACTTGTGTTGGATCGTCGTAGTACTGGTAGCAGGGCACCCTCTCTCCCACAGGAAACAGCATACGCCTCGGGCGAGACAAACATAGGAGCGTTTCGGAACGGTGAGGCAGTATTGCTCTGAGACGTCATGTACCTCATCGAGTCAGCCCCGCCGCTGATTTGAAGAACGCGCTGAAACTCGAAGCTGACCTCGTTGTCGACGAGGCGTACCTTCTGGATCTCGCAGTATCGCTGCACGGTCGGCAGGGACTCCAGGTAGACCTCTCTGGCCAGGAAGGCGCCCGCGGCGAGGGAGCTCAGCGACATGCCCGCCAGCACCTTCGGCTGCCACCCCCTGTCGAAGGTCGCCAGCGCGCTGACGGCGAGAATCAGCACCGCGGGGCTGACAATGACCGCGGCAACCGCCACGGGCACCACCCAGAGGACGCCCAGCAGCACGTCGCGAAGCCCCGCCTTCTGCGCGAAGAGGCCCTCCTCCCTCTGCGGCGCCGCCAGCCGCCGCGCCACCCTCGACGCCGCGGCGCGCGCCCCGGCGCGCGTCCGCGAGGAGCCTCCCCGCCGCCGCGCCAGCGCGGCGGCCCAGGACCCCGCCGCGAGGAGCCGCGCCGCCCGCCAGCCGGCGGGCAGCCGCGCCCGCGCCGCAGCGCCGGCGCGCAGCGCGGGCGGCGCGGCGGCGCCCCTCCGCGGCGGCGCGGCGGCGGCGCCCGCGGCGGCGGCGCGCAGCGGCGCCCGCCCGCCCGCGCGCGGCGGCGCCCGGGGCGGCGGCGGGGCCCGGCGGCGCGGCTGGGGCGCGCGCGGCGCCGGGGAGCGCGCACGGCGCGCGCGCCATGCGCGGAGCCCCGCAGCCCGCAGGCCGGGGGGGGGGCGGCGCGGGCGGCGGCTTGAGCCAGGCTTGAGCCAAACACGCTCACTGGGATAAGCGAGTCCGAAGCCATGATGATCTGTGACAAGAAGATCGACCAAAGCCACAAGACCCAAAGAGAAATCTGGACATCGCGCTGTCGAGGAACAAAGCGCGCGAAGAAGACGTATATCTCGAAATGTGGTGATTGAAATGGAAGCCGAAGGGGCGACAAGTCAGGAACACTTGACGACTGCCAGAGCCAAAACCACCCCAAACCCACACCCACAGCTACAACGAATGCCGCCTGCACGAGCGCAGCCGAAGCAAACAAAAATCGAATGCCACAACGGTGCTGACAGAGGTGCCTTGGGCAAGCGCAGGGGCGAGCCCTCAAAGCTGGCCACCGCGCCAAACTCGGCGAAAGCGCCTCGCCAACACCACGGCGACCAACGGCGCTCACACTGGTGCAACTTGGCCGTTAATTAAACCCCAGCCGGCCTCCACAACGCGGCACTGCGATTGGGAGGGGGAGGAGGAAGCGGAGGGACGAGAGGAGGCGGAGGCGGAGGGCGGAGGGAGGACGACGACTGCGTGCTTGCACTGCGGTCTCGCGGCGCCCAGCCGGCCTCCGCAACGCGGCACTGCGATTCGGGGGAGGAAGAAGAGGAGGAGGAGGAGGAGGAGGAGGAGGAGGAGGAGCACTCCCACTGGGCACTCCAGCCTCCCGACGCCCAGCCGGCCTCCGCAACGCAGCACTGCGATTAGAGGAGGAAGCGGAGGAGGAGGAGGAGGAGGAGGAGGAGGAGGAGGAGGAGGAGGAGGAGGAGGAGGAGGAGGAGAGGCGGAGGGAGGAGGGAGGGAAACGACTGCGTGCACCCAGCACTCTGGTCTCGCGGCGCCCAGCCGACCCTCGCAACGCGGCGCTACGATTAGAAGGAGGAGGAGGCGGAGGGAGGAGGGGAGGCCGAGGCGGAAGGAGGAGGGAAGGGGGCGACTGCGCGCTCGCACCGAGCACTCCGGCCCCGCGGCGTCCAGCCAGCCTCCGAAACACGGCACTGCGATTAGGAGAAAGCAGAAGGAGGCAGACGAGGAGAGGAGAGCGCGGCGGAGGCGGGACTGCTTTCATCCTAACGCTCACACTGTCCTGGAGCCTCAGGTCTCCCTGCTGCTGGTCGCCCCCTGCACCCCCCTTCCGTGGCCGGCGATTGCGAAGACGAGCGCGCCCATCCTGCAACGCTAGCACTGGGGGTGCCTGTTCATCCCCAAGACGATGTCGCAGGGAGTTGGACCCCACTCGCTGCTGCCTTTCTGCGAAGCCGAGCTCGCCCCAAAACTCGCCCAGGTCCGCTATGCCCATGGCCTGTGTTTCAATCTCCGATCCTGAAAGCATCACGTCTTCGCCGTCGATGGACTGCATTGTTTAAAAGACATGTCCAATAAGTTTGCATCCGAGCCGCCAGGTGCAACCAGCGAGGTCTTGCCGTGCTGGGCATCTCTGTGAGACGAGCCACCGTCCGAGGATCCATGATCAGACGAGCCAGATGCAGAAGCAGGTGTGACGAAACCTAAGACCTCTTGACAATGAACAACGACCTCCTCGAACAAATAAAAGTCACGCCAAGGCCCAGGCACCTTCCGGGGGGCGCAACTCCATGACGCTCGAGCCCGCGTATCCGAATCGTACGCCCATGAACTTGTATTCCTATGCACCGTCTCCTGTTTCTTGCCCCTGCCAGTCGGCACTTCCACATCGCCGCTCGTGCCGTCGTCGGCGAAGGCGTGGCTGAGGGCGTACGGCTTCGCCAGGAGAGCCGCCAGCTTCTCCTCCTGCGGCTCCGTCGCCGGTGGGTCGGGCTCTGCAGTCGCCTTTGCCTTAAGCGATGCGTCGGCCTTCTGTACGTCTAGCTCAAGGGGATCCGCGAGTTCCTCGGCAGTCGCGTCTCTATGGGCTTCTTCCGGATCCTCCTCTTGGCGCTCTTGGACATGCCCTCATCGGCAATGGCTCGGCTTCCATAGTGAAGAAGGGAGCTGCAATCGGAGAGATGGGTGAGAGATGGTGAAGAGGCCCGGCGCCCCGAAAACTGCCCCCTGTCGCATCTCGCGCCTTGAGCCATGCAACTTTTGCAACTCTTGCAGACCTCGGGCTCAAGGCGCGAGTGAACCTGCAATTCTTGCAGACCGTGGCTCCTGCATCATGCGCCTATACAATAAAGAAGCATACGCCAGAGCCGCTGGGTTATCGTGTCAAGGGTTGTCAGCGGAAGACACAATCCAAGGGACTCTTGATGCGGACGATTATATCCCAGTCTCTCGCATCCTCTGCTTGTCATGCTTATACAAAGCATTGATGTGTCTTTCCCACTGATGTTGGGTTCACATGCGAAGCCTCCTCCCTTCCCATCACTTCCCTCCTAGCCCTTATCCACAAGCCAGTCGATAATGTTGAATATCGTTGCGATGCGGTCTCGGGGAATGCAGTTTCTGCTCGAGCATTGGGGAAAAAACACAAAGTCTGCGAAACCCCCCAGGTTGTTCGGCAGCACCTGATTGCTTGCCCCAGCGGCTCCTGGACATACGACATACGCGCCTGGGAGCGACCCATTAGCTAGAATGCCATGGGGAAGGGGACCCTGTCCATTCAGAGGCTGCTTGCGTCGACCTTCTTTCGGAGCTGCACTGTCTGAAATGGCCTGCCCGAATGGTCGGAAAGAATGTATGCAAACTTCCGCACAGGCGTACGTCACATTTTCTCCACACCACGAGAGCTCTGGGGAGACTGCTGGTCCACAGTGGCCGTGAGCTCGATGAGGACCGAAACACAAGGGGTGATGCGAGCCGTGGAGTTCCAGGCATTTCTGCCCCGGCTAAGCTTTCCAGCAAGTGACGCCTACATGAAGCTTCCATCCCATTTAATCCTGCACACAGTCGCCCTCGCAACGTCCTGGGCTTACGGAGGCCGTGGCGGTAGAGGAGGCTCTGGAGGCCGTGGCCGCGGCTGCAGCAAGCCGCAGCAGCACTACCAGTACCCGCAGCAGAGCCAGTAGAAGCAGAACTACTAGAACAGCACAGGCCCAACAGCTTGGACCCATTCATCTCTGCAAGAGCGTCGTGACCTTCAAGACGAATTTACTTCTCGCGAGCAGTGCCATGAGGCGAAAACAGTGGCCAAGCCTGATCATGCGCTCTTCTGTGGCACGTGGAAGCAAGAAATGTGTATATGATATATGTGGCTTCACCCCTGACACAAAGGCCGTGAAAAACAATGTGTAAAGAAAAGGAGCTGAAGACACGTGGATTTGGGTGTCCCTCGGATGCAAAAAAACATAATACTGAGGAAGATGGACAGTAACACTTTATCAAGCAGTGCTCCCACAAGCAGCAGTGCATGAAGTGAGGAGAAGCCGAAGCCAAAGATGAATAAGAAGTTTCTTGCAAAGATGATGCAAGAGAGGAAGAAAAAAGCAGTCCAGAGTAACAAAGAAAGCTTAATGAGTGGAATGTCAAAAAAATGATGGGATACTCGCAGCCCGATGAATTTGATTTTAACTCAGAGAGAGATGAAGAGAACATGCCAGCCATGATGACGAAAATGACCAGACTGATGAACAAGAAAGAAAAGGCAACGACAAATATTAGCAAAAGCTCTTCAGCAGTATGATGGAAAAAGTGGAGAGAACAAGTCTAACGATAATAGCATGATGAAGCAGCTATGTTCCTTGATGCTAAACGGTGGGGGTAAAAAACGGACGAGCATGGTATGATGAAGCAGCTGATATCCCTGATGAAGAATGGCGGAGAGAAAAAGCGAGAGCCCAACGCCGACCTCGCAGCCATCATCCAAGCTGTTCGCGAGACAGGGGGGGAAATCAAACTCATCGGCTGGGGCACCGCCAGACGACCAGGCCGCCCTACTACGTGGCTTAATCGCCCAGGTGTCCCCCCAGGCACTCCGAAGCCAAGGCGTGTCGAGGCGAAGCGCACACCGAAAGAACAAGAATCGCCAGTTCATGCGGGTGAGATAGATGAAGAACAGGCGGAAGCAGCAAATTGTAAGATGCGTGTGTGTTGAAGTTGCTACCAAAACCATTCCAGATACTTCAACTGGTGATTGCCCCGAGGAACCTAAGCATGTCATGGCGAGGATTGGATCGCGAGGGTCCCAGGAACAACGCAGACAACTCTCAATGAGATGTTGATCCTGGATGACCTTCCGCAGTACACCGGTAAAAACGAGGATGGCAGCTTGTCAAGAATGTGTCCGCTGGCCAGGCGCTCAAGATGCCAGCTGGATCATCGGACATTTCGTTCGTGCCGCCGCCGCTGGCGTCCCCTCACGGGAATAGTCCCACCAGCCCTCTGGGCGTAGGTGGTTTCGGGAGTTTCCTCGGGGAGGGGTTAATCACTGTTCCCTATTGATATACACACCCTCCCCCAAGCGACTGGGAGCCAACCCGAGACCATGCGGGCCCCCCCCCCCACCATCCCTTGTTTAAAAAATACAAACACACATTCTGCCTCCAAGTTCGGAGCATGCGCAGCGAACCCAATGCGGCCTCCCCCCTCCATCCCTGTCAAAAACAATACGGACTACACTTGGCGGCTGCGGCGGCTGCGGCGGGGGTAGCGGCTGCGGCGGCTGCGGCGGCGGCGGCGGCGGCGGCGGCGGCGGCGGCGGCGGCGGCGGCAACGGTGGCGGCAGCGGCTGCGGCGGCAGCGGATGGGGCGGCGGCGATTCGGCAGCGGGGGCGGCGGCGGCGGCGGCGGCGGCGGGCGGCGCGGTGGCGGCGGCGGCGGCGGACGGCGGCAGCGGCGGCGGCGCGGCGGCGGCGGCGGGCGGCGGCGGCGGCGGAAGCGGCGGAGGCGGCGGCGGCGGTGGGGGATTCGCCCCCAGTAGCTGCCCATCCAAAGACGACTGCTGAATATGCCGTGGCTCGGGCCAGGCTCGGGTGCTACGTATGTGTTGGGAGGGCGGGTGGGAGTGAGCGAGACGGCTTGCGGGCGGAGACGGAGCCTTGACCCCTCCCCCAACCCCCTCCCGTGGACCTCGACGGGGGGGTCCGCGACGCCTTCGGTCGGGTCGGTCGGAGTCGTAGGCTGCGGGCAGCCCATGGACGTGCGCGGTAGCATGCAGATCGGCGCGTCTGCGCGCCCGCTGAAAAACGCTGAACCAAATATCACACGCGAGTTGCTTCGAAGGAAAGCAAAGACAGAGGAGGGCAAGGAAGGCAAGGGGGAAGGCGGAGATGCAAGGAAAGGGGGAAGGAAAGCAGCGAAGGAAGTGGCAACTCGTTCTAAGAGAACTCTACGGCTGTGGACTCAATCACTTGTTGTACACCAGCTGCTTCCACGCGTGCTCCTCCGCAACTTGCTCACGGAATCGCACATATGATCCAGTCAGCTGAATAGCCTGTGGCATGACTGTGCGTATCCACTCCTTGTTCGGTCGGGCACGCCGTCTCTCATAGCGGTCGGTGGCCGGCACGTCTGTCCCGGGAATGAAAGACGCCCTTCTCAGTGCCGACTCCGGCGGGGAGCGCACGATCTTGCCCATGTACACGAGCTGCCGTCTGTAGAGCTGGTCTGAAGCGGATTGCACGCCGGCCCTCTGCAGGACCTCCGCGTTCGAGATCCGCGAGGTATAGGATGGTGAGATGCCCATGATCACTCTCAGACAGTTGGCTTGGAAGCCGTCAAAACTCCGCAAATCAGCTTTCAAACAGCATCCGGCGGACAATCCGTACAGTAGTTTTGATTCAATGAGCGCGGTGAAGACATGCAGCTTCCATCTGCGAGATAAAACGGAATGCCGCCACACTTGCCTCACTGCACGGAACTCCGCGCTCGCCAAACCGATCCTTCGGCTGAGTTCGGTCGCCATCTTTCCGTCAGCAGTCAGAGTCGACCACAAGTACACGAGCGATTCCTCGCACTGCACGCAACGGTCCCCGATCTGTACTTCAGCTTGGCGACCTGTCTGTAGCAGCTGGAATGTTTTGACGTGGAGCTCGAGACCGTAGGCCTGACCGGCCTTGGAGATTGCGTGGACAAGCTCTTGGACGTGCGCGGTAGCTGTCCCCACTACCAGCGTGTCGTCCGCGACGCGTTGGAGCGTCCAAAACGGTCTCGGCGAGGAAGCCAAAATCATTGGTTTACTAAGGTTTGGGCCCCATGTTGGCCTCCTCAGGGGGGGGCTAATTTAGTCCCCCCATCCTGTGATCGATCTCCTCCAAGATGGCCCCAAGAGGCGCCCAGGAGGCCCCAAGAGGCCCCGAGATGGCCCCGTGTGGCCGCAAGCTAGAAGCCCCCAAGAGGCCCCCAGGATGCCCCCAAGAGGCTCCCAAAGGACCCCCAAGAGGCGCCAAGAGGCCCCCCAGAGGCACCCAAGACGCTCCAAGAGGCCCCGGCGAGACTGCCAAATTCAGTGATGTTACTAAGGTATGGGCCACATTTGGGCCTCCTGGGGGGCGCTGCTTCAGATGACTCCAAGAGCGCTTGGGAGAGCCCAAGATGACCTCCAAGGTGGCTCAAGATATCCCGAGATGCCTCAAGATGGTTCCCAGGATGCTCGAAGAGGCCCCAAGACCGCTTCAAGACGGCTGCAAGTGGCCAAAGATCTCCCCCAGGAGGCCCCGAAAAGGCCAAAATCCGTCCAAAGCTTTGGAAAAACAATGTTTTGGGTGTTCTCGCCTTTTCGCTTGCGATGGCCATCTGAGGCTTCACGATGGCTCCAAGATGGTCCGAGAGGGCTCCAAGAGCGCTCCCAAAGCTCCCAAGAGCGCTTCAAGAGGGCCCCAAGAGGCGCCAAGGAAGCCCTAGGAGGCCCCAACAGGCGCCCCAGAGGCCTCCAAGAGGCCCCCAAGAGACCCCAAGAGGCCCCAAGAAGCTCTCCGAGGCACGCAAGACGCCCTAAGAGGCGTCTGGGACCGCCAAGAGGCCCCCAAGACGCTCCAAGAGGCCTCCACTGGGGAACCCTTCCTTTGTGTGCTGCCCACTTCCCTGATCGAGGCACTTCCTCTGGGCATCTTGTCCGGATGGGCTGGCGGGGTCACTTGTTCGTTCGCGAGCGCAAGCGGAAGAGCCGCGCGCCGTCAAGAGCTGGTGGGGTTACTTTTTTTTGGTCGCGGGCGGACGCGGATTCGCAGACGCCGAGCTGAGAGGTCCGGGACACGGGCCTGTCAAATTAGCAACGCTGGTAGGGGTTACGCGAAGCGTTTAGACTTTGGATATTGTGGATGCCCTTAGGCCTCGTATGCGATCTCACCACCATGTGCCTAGCAGCCACAGGATGTCTCAGTGCCGAAGCGTGCGAGTGGGCAAGCCTGCTCGCCATCCATATGTTACGATTATTCGCTGCTGCCTTTACCTGTCGGGAAGGTGAAGCCGCAGCGGCAAGAATCATGGAATTGGTTTCTTCCCTGAATGTTCATGCTATCCGTGTAGTTTCAATGCAGCTTGATATTGAACACAGTCTATGTGCGTTGGTCCTACGACTTACTCATTCCCTAGAGGCTGCAGTGTTACATATCTTACTCAGCCTGTGCAGAGTAGAACGCGTGTTCGGTTTGATCGTCGCACGTTTCCCTCTAGCATCTGCATGCCTTGCTTCCTTCAACTTCCTTCATGTGATTTGACACGCCGCAGTGGCGGTTCAGGGCTGGAGAGGGCGCAACCCACGATGCTCGGTTCCAACGCCGAGCCCCTGAAGGTCAACGAAAGCGGAAGGGGGGACGCGAAGGGAGTGCAAGGTCTCTACGGCTCCTCTGCTCTCCCCCTCGTCTTCGTCGCGTTCATGTCATCGGTCATCTTCTACTACCAGCAAATGGGGAGGAGCAGGAGGAGGCAGGAGCAGCAGCACGAGCAGCACGAACAGCAGCAGCAGCAGCAGCAGGACGGACGGGAGGAGCCCGCGCGCAAGGCTCAAATAATGAACCACTGCTCAGCGATTCCTCGTCTGAAGTTTCCCGAAGCCGCCTGGGGATAGCCCACCCGGGCACGATCTGACGTGGTGTTAGTTCGAGGGTCGTCCAGCCGCCTTGAGGAGCCCCCGACCTCGGTGACGGCGAGCAAGCTCGGAACAAGCGCGAGAATATGCAAATAGAGTTGGGACTCGCAACACGGAAAATGCAGCTCCCTGCCGCAAAGATGGTCCAAGCCTTCTCGATGTCGATGGTGCCACACACGCGATCCTCTGTGGCTCCCAGAGGAAGGTCGATCATCGGCACCTCGGGACTTCAAGCAATCAACATCCCCTCTCCCTATCCCCATCCCATCTCATTACCTCGTCCATCCCCTCTACCGCTATGGCGCATATCGCCTCTCTCCCCTGCCCACCCCCCTTCCCAATCCCATTTTTCTCCTCCTCCTCCTCCTCCTCCTCCTCCTCCTCCTCCTCCTCCGGTTCCTCCTCTTCCGTCTCCGTCTCCGTTTCCGTCTCCGGCGTTCCCTCCTCCCTCCTCCTCCTCCTCCTCCTCCTCCTCTCTCCTCCTCCTCCCTCCTCCCTCCTCCCTCATCATCATCATCATCATCATCATCATCATCATCATCATCATCATCATCATCATCATCATCATCATCATCATCATCATCATAATCAACATCAATATCATCATCACCACCACCATGGTCATCATCATCATCATCATCATCAGCATCATCATCAGCATCATCAGCATCGTCACCATCAGCACCATCAGCATCCTCATCATCAGCAGCATCGTCCTCATCATCATCATCATCATCATCATCATCAGCAGCAGCATCATCATCATCGTCATCATCGCCGTCGTCGTCGTCATCGTCGTCGTCATCGAGACCGTCATCGTCAGCATCGTGATCATCATCATCACCAGCATCAGCATCAGCATCAGCATCAAAATCAGCATCGGCATCATCCTCGTCGTCAGCGTCACCACATCCTCATTAGCATCATCATTGTTAGTGTCAGCCTCGTTACCATCGTCGTCCTCCTCGTCATCACCATTATCAGCAACATCGTCATCATCGTCCTCATCAGCAGCAGGATCTGCATCATCAACACCGCCCTCATCATCACCAGCAGTTTCTTTGTGGGGCACTAGAAAAGGCTCGGCCACGGAATGTTCGCCATCATCATCCCAATCACATCATCAGCATCACCAGCAGCAACATTATCGTAGTCGGCACCATCCTACATTATCCGCCTCCTCATCATCAGCATAATTTTGCTCCTCCACCTCTCCTCCTCTTCGCCCTCCTCCTCCTACCTCCTCCTCCTCCTCCTCCCTTCGGTACTCTGCTTATCAATCCTCCCTTCATCCTCACTCCTCTCACCTCACTCCTGCTTCTTCCCTAGAACGTAATCGACATATCCTGCATCATCCCTTCTAGTTTCCCCCCTACAGTCCACATTGACCTTCCCTTATCGGGGGCGGAGTCGAGGAGCGCCTTCATGGTGGAGAGCGGGAGGTCCTCGTTCTTCGCCTTGACTCGAAAAAGCAACGCGGGATGGGAAAGACGAAAGCGGAGAGCCTGGAGCGGGGCAAACGAAGCATGCATGTGCCGTCGCCGACGTGGCTCCTCGATTATGATTCGCAGAATTGGATTTCGAATCTGAATGTGCGCATGTGTGAGGGCTTGTGCGACTGTGGCTATGCTCGTGTAGTTTTTGGCGAGTGATGTGGTAGTGCATGTTGAGTCGTGGTTGCGCGGAGGAAACTGTAGATTCCAGCGCGGTCCGATGACGTTGTCGCCATTGGTGTCGCCTCTTCTGCACTGCGGTGCAAGTCTTGTGGCGCACCCACTGGCGGGGGCCTCATCTGTAGTTCGTGGACCAGGGGGGGGCCAATCCATAAACCATAAATTAGTCCTGGTCTGTGAGCCAGCTTGGTGCACCAGGGCTGACCGACCGAACAACAACAAACACCGACCCGCACGACCAACCGGCCAAGCGACCGACCCACGGTGGCCTTGTGAAACATTACGAGCAATGAGGCCCAAGAAACCTAGATCTGGTGGCGTCGTAAATTTCTAGCGCCCCTCCCCCCTCCTCCCCGGGGGAAGCTACCTAATACCATGTATAAGGGGGCGCCGATTGCAGCGTCGTGGCTTAGACGGGAGTAGGTGACAGGACAAGAGAATGTACTTGGCGAGCGGGGCAAGAGAGGGGCATACACACAATCCTATGCGGCAAGTGTGCGCACGCCTACGCCATAAGGCTGCGGGGGCACGAGCGGGGAAGCACGGGGAAGGAGGGACGAGAGGGAGCGACGAGGTTCAGGGGGACAGCAGGGACATGTACCACGTCGTACCCCGAAATGTGCAAAACAGTTGGTTACTGAAATCCCCGCAGGGCCAGAATACACCGACATGCATCCCAAACCAGCCCCAAGTGCACGCCAAATGAGCCCCAAATGAACACCAGTGCACACCTGAATGGCCCTCCCCCCAAAAAAACAAGCAACTCAAGAAGAACCTCCACAATGGATCCCCGAGAGTTTAGACGACAACACCCGAAAGCAAGCGACCGACCGACCAAACGACCGACCGACGACCGACCGAGCGAAAACGGGCAGACCGACAAACCGACCGACTGACGGTGCGGCCGACCGACTGGCGACTGACTGAGCGACCAAGCGACCGACCGCCAGACCGACCGACTGACCGACCTACCGACGGAACAACCGCACGACTGACCGACCAACTGATCGACGACCGACCAAGTAACGAGCCAACCAACCAACAAGCCGACCAGCCCACAGAGCAGCCGACAACCGACCAACCGACCGACCACCAACGGCCCACCCACCGGACCGACCGACCGAGCGAGCGAGCGATCGACCGACCGATCGACGACCGACCGACAGCCGACCGAGCGACGACCGAGCGACCCCGTGCCTGCACGTCCACAGGTCCTCCTGCCCCTCTGTTTGTTTGTGTTTCCTTTTTGTCGGATGGTGGGGACACCGATTTCAGACGGCGAGCCGCAGGCGCGCTTGAGCTGCTGCTGCAGAGGCGCCCCAGGGCGGCAGCCCGGGGCGACGCCCCGCACATCTACCGCCGTGGACGACGCCCGCGAGCGGCATGAAGAAAACAGAGAAAACAAAGTGCATGCCGTGTCGCCGCTTAACAATCGGCCATCAGAAGATTCGCCCGCAGGAGGTGGAAGAGGAGGGCCAAGAGCAGCTGAACAATAATAACCGGAAAATTGCGATGGAAACGAAGAGGAGGACGAGGAGTGGAGTGGAGGGGAGTGGAATGGACTGAAACGTCCCACCGGTCGATGAGACGCCCAGCGGCCGCGGCGGGCCAGACCTCCGAGAGGCCATCAGAATGCTTGCGGACAGAACCGACGAGGTGCCTCAGGTCTCGGGCTGGACGAAACGTTGGGCGGCCCCGCGGTGGACTCGGCCCGCGTCAGGTCCTTCGGCCACAGGCCGCGCGCGATGCAGCCCAGGTAGCTATTGCCCGTGGCAGCGGGGCGGCCACCTCCTCCCTTCGGGCTGGGCACTCGCCCCTCAGCCGGAGCGAAGAAACCACAGCAGCGGCAACACAAGAGGTCCAGCGCCGCGTGGAGCGCCATCGCGTGGGACCCGCGCGGCTCGCCGCCGCCGCCGTGGACCCACTGCCCGCCGCCCAACTTGCACAGGTCCTGGCCAACGGCAGGGAGTCCAGGGCACGGGGTTTGCAGCCACTCCATGCGGGCGGCGCACGACGCCAAACAGCGGCACCGCGAGCGGCTGCCGTCTGCGGACTGGGCGTGCGAGGAGCAGAACAGGGCCGTGGCACGGCGCCCAGACGGCACCCTGCGCTGCACGGCTGGCGGCCTCGGCGCCTTACCCTCCGCCTCCATGGCGCCCAGCGTGGCCCGGAGAAGCCTCTGGCGAACGCGGAGGCCATCGCTCTCGGCACGATGAACGCAGGGAAGAACAGCGGCAGGCAGCCTGACGGACTCGGCCGCGACGCCCGCAAACACGTGGGCGTTGCCACGGATAGCCCACTGCAGAATGCGCCGCTGCTCGGCCGCATCCACCCCAAGGTGCGAGTTCACATGGAAGACCACGAACCCGATGCGCGGACCGTCGGCGAACACAGCCGCCAGCGCCCGCCACGGATCAGCATCGGGGCCGCGCGGCGCGGCATCGCGCTGCGCCCACCACCGTTCACCTACTGACAGATTGCCCGAGATGAACATCGCCAGGCCCGAAGAGCACTGGGCCGCCAAGACAAGATCCCTGAGCTCGCCGCGGTGCAATGTCTGCCGCGGCCCCGACTAGCCTCCGAACATGGCGCGGGCCACGCGCCCATCATGGGGCCGCGCGCCCACGACCGCCAAGCCCACTGGGCGCAGCGCGGGGGCAGCAGCCGCTGGCCCGCCGCTGGCGCCGCCGAAGACGACGAGGGGCCGCGCCGCCGTGCCAGCGCCCAGCGCGCCTGCAGCAGCGAGGCCCTCCAGGCCCACGCTCATCCAGCGGTCCGTTGCGATGGGCTCTGGGACCCCAGTCCAAGCCCGCGGCAGCATGCCACGGAGCCAGAATCATTCGTGCTCCACCCGCGCGCGGCCACACATCTAGTCGCTGTCGGAGTAGGCCCGCGAGGCTGCGTTGCAGGGGCGGGCCCAGTCGACGGTAGGCCGTCTCGGGCGCGCCACCGCACCCGTGGCAAGTGGCGTCGACGGCCGCCCCGAACGTCTCCTGCTTCTGCTGCCTGGGCAGGCTGCCGCCCTTGGCGATCGCGGCCATGAGCTCCTCCAGCGCAGCGCAGCCGGGGCGGCGGCCCAGGGCGCCAAGCAGCTCCCGCAAGGATGACACGCCCGAGCCCCCCTCGAGCCCCGAGCCGCACTGGTGCTGCGACGCCTGCCGCCAGAGCCCCTCCTGGATGGAATCGTCGATGGCGGCGAGCAGCTGCTCCATCGACCCGCGGTCGACGCGAGCTGCATCTGGAAAGGCCCATCGCTCGCGCGATCCATCTGCACAGCGGCGCCCCCAGCCCACGGGACCCACCGGGTTCCACCCGAACTGCATCAGGTAGCATTGCAGAGCTGAAATGGGCCCACGGACCAGGCGAGACCTCTGTCGGAGCTCGGCGTCACGCGGACGATCGTGGACAGGAACCCAAGCCTTGGCCATCCGCGTCTTCAGGTCTGGGCCGCGCTGCCATGCGGATAACCGCCAGCTGATCATCTCCCGCGGCAATTCGCGCGCGGGATCTCCGCGCCTAACGCGGAGGAGAAACCAGGACGTCAGGCGGCGCCCTCGGCGCATTGCGCCTGACACAGCGCCCAGCCGCCTGCGAAGCTCCAGCATCCGCGAGCCGAAGGTTCGGTAGACCTCGTGGCCGTAGGTCGCAGCCGTCTGGACTCCGACCTGCTCGATGCGAGTGCATCGCGCGCAGCGGCGGCCCGCTCGAGCCACGCCGCGCAGGCGGGCGTGGGCCACCCCCGACTTGAGCATGCGCTTGCGGACGGTCATCCTGAACATCCGCCGGCCGGCTCCGAGGTTGACCCCCAGGCAGGGGTCTCGGCGCGCGGCCGTGACGCGGCGCCCGCGACGCCGAACAAATGAAGCTATCTCCACCGAGTCGGCGCGCTGAGCGCAGAGGAGGAGGAGGAGGAGGAGGAGGAGGAGGAAGAGGAGGGAGAGGAGGAGGAGGAGGAGGAGGAGGAGGAGGAGGAGGAGGAGGGGATGGAGGGGGAGGAGGATGAGAGCGGGTTGCCTTAAGCGGGCGTGCCTCCTGGGCCCCAGGGGGCTCGACCGCCGCGCGCTAGGCGGGAGAGCACGGGTAGCCGCCAGCAACGCGTTTGGCTGGCTGGCCGCGGCCGTTCTGCACTTATTCTAGAGGTGGAACGCGAGGACTGCGCGTCGGACGGTGGCCTGGAGCGACATATCGCTCGGCACAGGCGGGCGGGCTGCTGCGGGACCCAGCCCCCAGCTCGTCTGCGCGCTGACGATGGGCGGAGGTTCCGGGGACCAGAGGAGGCTCAAGAGGCGAGGACACGAGAGGCAGTGGGGGAATGATTCCGGCTGCTCGCAGCAGCCGAATACGCTGCTGCGCGGCGCGAGCACGCGCGCGCGGGCGGTGGTCGCCCACCCGCCGGCCACGGTCTCGCGCGCAGCCCATCGCCAGCCGGGGCGAACGCTACGCATGAAAATGGAGAGCGACCCCCATCGCTCGGACAGTAACTCGAGTGCAATATGTAAACCCCACGCGACAATGCGCTACGTGAGGGTGACCGTGAACGGCGAGGCGAATACGGCCTTGCGGAATGAAGTCGCGAAGGCTCTTTGGAAGTGGCGGCGGCGCGGCGGCTGGGCTTCCAACGCCTAAGCCTTGCCAGCCTGCGCTGCGCGGTGAGCGGCTTGCATCATCGCTGGGGTGAACGGGGGAGTGCGCTGCGAGTCTCGCAGCTGGGCGCAGCACTGCACGATGGCGCGCGGCTGCTTCCAGAAGCTGGGAGACCACAGGCTGCACAACCATCGATGGGAAGAGT